TGGTTGGTGTTGGGTAAGTTTGGTTGCCCGCGTAAGTTTGTAAGTTTAATTGAATTTCTGCACAGTGGTATGCGGGCAAGGGTGCAGCTGAGTGGAGAGACCTCGGATGACTTTGCAGTTGTCTCTGGTGTGAAGCAAGGCTGTGTCTTAGCTCCTGCCCTGTTTACTATTTATCTTCATGCAATGATGTCTTGTGCTTTTGATGCCGCTTGTGCTTACGGTGTTCGTGTGGAGCACCGTATTGATGGTGGGTTTGCTGAACATCCGTCGTTTCGGTGCGAAAACTCTAGCCTGTGAGACAACTAGCCGTACCTTGCAGCGTGCTGACGACCGTGCGTTGTTTTCACACAGCGCGGATGAGTTGCAGCACATGACTAGTGCTCTGGCTTTGACAGCGGCGAACACAAGCAAAACGGTTTGTCACTTTCATGCTTCACCGGAAGTGCAGTCTGCAATGTTGCCGCGAATCAGTATTGGAAGTTAGTATTAGAGACTACGTGCTTCAGCTACCTTGGGAGTGTGATGTCGACTGACCAGCAGCTACACAGTGAGCTGCGTTTCCGCGTATCTATGGTAGCTGCGATATTCGCGAAATTTGAGTACTGAGTTTGGAACAAACATCAGATTATCATTGGCACAAAGCTGATGGTGTACACATCTGTGATGCTATCCGTTCTATAAGGCAGTGAAGCGTGGACGATGTACTGGCGGGATGTGCCATATCTCGAGCCGTTCCATCAAGAGTGTATGCGGTGGATTCCGCGCATTGGTTGGTGCGACAGAGTTGCTGGCACTGAAGTGTTGCGCCGAAGTGGGATGCATGCAGTGGACTGCATACTTTTGCTGAGACATCTGAGGTGTCTCTATCATGTTTGTGGTATGGATTCGACGCGGATACCGAAGCAGGTGTTATATGATCAGCTGATTATTGGAAAGCGGCATTTGGGGAAACCGAAGCTTCGTTACTATGACATGGTCAAAGGGAGCCTCTCACGTTCTACTCCTGATTGCAGGTCATGGGAATCGACGGCGGTTGTTCGGCGTGCGTGGCGCCATCTGATCAAAATGGCAGTTGCCGAGTAGTATGAGAAATCCCTCGTGCATTCAGAGAAGAAACGGCAATTACGGAAATGGCAGGGGCCAATGGATTGTACTCTATCGACATCGAGCGCATGGTGCTGTAGCACATGAGGTCGCCAGTGCCTGAATCAGGCAGGTTTAGTGAGCCATGAGCGAGGCCACTCGAGGCCATCACCGAAACGATGACGGGTCCTGCAGAGAACATAGGCAGAACCGGCGCAGCGTTTGTGGATACGCTGCATTAGATTTGCTAACCGCTTGCTTGCATGCTGAGCCTCTTTATTTCAGGTGGTGGGTTTGTTACATTGTCCTAATGCTTTTTTTATTCCATAAGGATGTCTACCTGAACCATCTTCTATTAACTTGCACACGTCGCTCAAACTAATCGTAGTTAACTTCGATAACATTTTCGCGTTTATGACATTTTCTTAAAACATATTTTCTGACGTCTTGAACCCATAGCGGATATTTTCTCAACCAATTTATTTCATATGCTCGTTTATCGATGGGTTGTGTCACCGGATCTATGTGCACTATTCGCTTTGTTTCTTTTGTTATCGTCCTCTCAAGTGATTGGTTGTTGCTTGATATCTCCGGTGTGGCTGCGCTTGATTTGCATGTTCTCAAGGTGCCTACCTGTCTATTACCCACTACATCGTTCATACTGGCTCCAGGAGACAATTGGTCGTTGCTGGAGCGGATGGGGTGCGCGTTCCTTGAGGTCGCGCTAAGCTCGAACAGTTGGTCCATGCACTCAGTGTGGGGTGGCTTACCGTCCAGCCACCGCCTTGTGTGCGCTTGCTTCCCAAATACAGCGTGCTTGTGTTTGCCTGTGAAGGAGTGTGGGCCGGCTCCGTTGATGAAACGTGGCTCCCATCCACATGCCTCCCGGTCTTATTCCTTCGGGTTTCCACTGGATATGAGGTGTGTGGATGAAGCTGTGGGTGGTGCAGCGCAAGCCACCCATGGTCCCTCTGTAGGCGCAGGCGTCCTGTGACTGGCCTCAGTGGCAGGCAAATCCGAAACCGGATGCGGCTGACCATATGTGCCACTGCATTTCGTCTGATCGTTTCGCCAATGTGGGAGGAGAGGAGTGACGTCCGTGGATAGGACTTGATTATCCGATTTCGCAAATGGCGGTGACTTTGGTTTGTGGCTAGTCACAATCGCTATGTCTCAGACGTTTGTGACTTTTTATAGGTCTAATTTTTGTCGTGCGAAAATCTACCACATCATGAAACACTGTCGCCGAACGATTTACTGGGTCGGTGTTAACCGAAAGCACCCAGCTGGCACCACAGAGACTTTGTCCAGTTAACTAGCCATTTTCTTCGAATTCCATTCGCATTCAACCTCATTTTTGCCGGAGTTTTGTTAACAATTCTGTTCTGGTGACGTGAGTTGTGATAACCGATTCCACCGCATTTCGGTGCTTGGATTACGGTTGTCTAGACGGACCGAAGCGTGAAGCTTTTGTCTCTGAGGCCTGAGGTGGAAGATGCTATAACCAATCCAGTGATTTAGTTATGGTCTACTTAGCTCTTCGTTTGCATGTCTGAATGCTCTTGGCGTCGTGTCTCATGATTACCATCAACTGCTGCACTTCTGTCACTCGATGGCAAGTCAGCAAAGTGCATCAGTGGTTCGCCGGCACACCGTACCGAAGCTTCGTTTCCATGCGACCACTACCGGTCCCTTGTATGCTGGGTGCACTGCAAAGTCAAAAGGTGACGTGATTATCACTTTACCTTTAATACTTGTTACTTGAGTTGTTCTTGTTGCTAAATTACCTGCCTTGTTGCTTCCAATGAAGCCAAACTCTCGCCCTTTAGCCCAGCTGTTCATTTATTCCTTCCTCTCTTTACTCATCACCATATGGCATCGAAACATCATTACGATGCACTTTTGTGTTAATCGCAATCATTTGTATAAGATTGTTGAGAGTCTGAGTGATTGCACACTCTGATAAGTTGACCAACGCTAGCGTCCCCATTTTTGGCTCATTATACTACTGTTTTAACGTATACTGCCTGCTTCCAGTACAACAACCATCTTGAGTCGTGGCTTCCCTATTTCTGTGCACTGGAACACATTCCACTTGTGGACTATGATGAACCAACAATCTTGGAATAACTTTTGGGTGTTCACCACTGTACTCTGTGAACCACGCCACTATGCTTGTAAAGATCCGAACACAAACCAAAGTCGAGCGTCTTAACATCATCAGCTGTTCATGTCGACCAACGAAGAGAGAAAGATCACGCTTTCGAGTGCCTGTTGTGGAGAACTCATGGTTCCGCAAAAGCTCCACACTTAAGTTCTTCCATTCTCCAACTTCTCCATAATTTTATCTTGGGATGGTTGCACCATACTGTTACATCCGTTATCTTCCCAGAGATGCTGTTGCCAGGTCATCGACTGTGTGATACCTCCATGCGACCGTTTTTCGGTGGCAATCACTTCACCAGCCGTTATCAGGTGGCACTTGCGTCATCCTGACTACTGCCCTCCAATAACGAGACCAGCCCTACTATAAATACCAGGCTGTACAGACCGTGAGGCGCGTTTGGTTTAAGCTGTAAAAGCACTTCCGCTGAAGGTCTTTTCTCTCTCGGTGGTCGTGAGTACCCCTACAGTGTCCTTGTTACTCTCGATACAGTGACGTAGAAACCTTTGGGCGACTAAGTCACACCGGGCGCGTCAACCCGAATTCAAGAAGCCAATTGTCCGCGCTGAGCACAGTCCACAAGAGCCGAATCCTTCGCTTCTATTTTGGCACGGTATCTAAAGTGCGGACTTTGCAACGATGTCGATGTCCCATCTCACTCTTGCACATTTAACTTAGTTGGTTGAATCCGGTATTCTTCTCTAGGTGACCTCTGATTCATTGTTCTTCCACCGCATGGTTTTTGCTGATTGTATTTGATTGTTTCCTTCGGGATCTTGCTGCAACTTTAATGAGTGGGCGGCTTACTTTTTGATCTCTGAAATCTTGTGTATCTCCAGAGCGGTATGCTCCCATCTGCCTCATTTACCTGACGCGCTTATACTTATTCCCCATTTACATTGGCCATACAAACGTGATGCTAATGTGTTTCGTGTGTCAAAGCCATCTCGTTTTTGTTTTCATATCCTCCATCGATCGGCTGAATCCGAAACTGAACATTGATTCGTATTGATGCCATCTTCCGAAATGCATCTGTCCCGGAAATGTTGCTAGTGACTTAGGCATCGAGGGGGAGGAATTTGTAATGGCTGACTCCAAACCCCCACCAGTATCATATCCGTCGTGTTAGCCTACTGCTCGTACTAACACCACACATTCATCCAATGTAATGCGTTGGGCTTGCGCAATAGTTTTGTTCACGGTATTGCAGAATAAGTAGTTATTTATCGTAACTGGTATGTTGCGTCCAACCCCGATATTTACCACCGTTCCGTATTGATATCAGTTGTCTCGTAATGCAGCATCCACAATTGAAAGGATCTATGTAACCCTTGTGACAAACGTTGCCCTTTGCGACGCGATGGAGTAGAAGTTTTGGATAACATGATTACAGAAGGTTTTGTGTACAAATCGGTTTTAATAGATTTTTATTATGGCAACGTTTCGCTCTTGAGGTAAGAGCTTCTTCAGGCCAGGTGAATCGGTACACAATTGGCTAACATCCCCATGGCCCCGGATTCCATGCCTGCTGCCTCTGCCTGATGAGATCAATTAAGCTCGTAACCGGTCGTGGAGTGCGGCGTTTTTTCAGACGCCTGATACACGATTGATCCTGAGGTTGACCATGTGACATTGCTTGGGACTGGTGGCTTTTCTTACGCCTCCTATTCTTGCACTCTGGATTTTTCGACCCATCGTGTTTTTTGCACTTCACAACCCACTGACCTCATTTCCTCGGATATTTTCCTTACAGGCGGACTTTTTCCTGAAGCACTGGACTTCGCCTTCAATGGTAAAATTTCTGAGTTGCGGACCACTTTGGAGAAGCAACTTGCTCACCTCCAAGTTGAAGAGGATCGTCTGAAGGTAATCTCATCTAGGTGGTCATGTGACATACAGATTTACCACCTCCTTCTCGCTCTACTTTGTTCATCTCTTGTCCTGCATTGTTTAACATCCCATTTCCGATTTGTCGTGACATTTGAGGAACTTCGATGCTTCTGGTTAACGAAAAGCATTTGAAAGCCGTCAATTGGCGAAACTGCTCGGCAGCTAATATCGCGACATTGGTGCTAACTGATTTTGTCAATTTTCACTGCCGGAACTTTATCTTTGGAGTACGAACATTGCTGGATATATTGACTTTTGCTGTGATTTAGGGTAATCTATTGCGATCATCTATCTGTTGATATTCTGATTCGATTTACCACTGCTGAAGCAACTTAAAAGAATGAACTGGCCTCTAAATGCAAAATAACCACAGATTAAAGGATTCCTTGCAACAATAAAACCTGATATGATCTTACTGGGGGTTTTTGTAAGTAGTGTAGTTTTCGTAGAAAATAAAAGCCACGATTAAACTATGCACAATAATCTGCCTCGACGGGGAATCGAACTCTAGACCTACGGATAAGTTTGGTCTGTTCGGCTATCGCGACTATGAAGAGTTTTGGAAACGTCTGATGCAGCTATGCGGCAAAGTTCCCTTAAGCAGCTTACTGATATTAGTGTGGACAAAATACTGAGTCCTGCTCCTTCCCTCACGATATGCCCCTATCTTCACTCACCAACATCGGTCTGCTAAACACCCTGACAACATCGATATCTGTGGGCGGATAAGCAAAGTGGAGCCAAATCAGGCTAGTTGCCAAAATGCCGCATCTCTAACCGCTATTTTCAAACGGTGTCCTGTGTGTTGCGTTATCCCCGGCATTTGGCGATCGTCATAAATGACCTAGTGACATACGCCGATGACATCATGTGGTGACGGATGCCGGTGAGACCGTGGAATTTACAGTACTCATAAGTCCCAATAGGGTGAACGCACGTTTAATTCATAGGATTATGTCTGGGTTGGAGCTGCTGCTAAAAATCCTACAATAACATCATATATGTCACCTGTTCTTGATCTCATGAATCTTCTTAGCCGTCTGGTTGATATATATATGCCGTAACGGAACCGATGCGCGTTGATCTCGATTGACCTCCGATTTCCATACTTTTTAGTGCGGTTAGCTTTAGTCGCATCACGGTGGGATGCCCCATTCCGACACCCATCCACATGGCTTACGTCTACTTTGCATGTACATACCTGGCGTTCGCAAAATCCACTTTTCCATTGAGTGTCTTAGACTCGAAATCGCCGCATGTGAACTTTTACCTTAAAGTTCACCTCACTGAACACGCGGAACAACGCTTTTTCTCCCCTAAGCCGCTGCATTTTTTCATCATCTCACTTACCCGAGGTCTAACCAGATAACACAAACCGTGGGCTAACGCTACTGAGCATGTTGATTAGCATATCCTGTTAATGTTTTAGATATCAAAATTGTTGATTTATTAACTTACTCTTAACAACGACATTTTAGTCCTTAACGTACCGTGTACATTTACGGCTCTCTAATTGTAACTAATATAGATTACTTCGTCTTTGTGGCCGAAAGTCGGACAGATGGCTTCAATTAGCCGAATTTTTTTATTGGTCTTTATTGCACTAGGTTATATCTCCTTGTGAGCACTAATTCGTACAACACAAACATCCAGCGGCTTTGTTTTAGCACTCCGCATATTACACAACTGAAGAAGCTCGTACACTTCAGTTCAGTTGAGCAACTATGCTCCGGGCACTGAACCACGGTGGAACCAGTTGCTACGGCTCGCGTCGCTATAATAACAAAAAAATATCAGTTACAAGAAAGTGAGCTTGAATGCAAATGAAATTTAAGGAAGCTGAAATCAAGAAGAAAGTGTCTTAGCAGCTAGATACAGGAAACCCAGTGCAGCAGCTTCCCTGGCTGTGGCATGTTCGATGGTGTCTCTAACCACTGATGTTGACCGTCCACGACAATACGTGCAAGTGCCTGACCAAGTCTCCGTCAGTTTCTTCATACATTTATGCCACGTCGTCAGCTGGCCATCTCGCGGTTTCGCCCAACTTGACGCAGCCACATCGTACAATACACGTCTAGGTAGCCGCTCAACGCTCATAGGGAAGACATGACCTAACCAACGTAAGCAATTAAGATTCAGCAAACATACAAATGTAACATCAGAAGGCATCTTGTCACAAATCAACTGGCGGACCTTAATATTGCTCACCCGGTCTTCCCACCAGACGTGAGCAATATTTCGCAAGCACCGGTGATCAGGCACAGCCAAGCTTTTAATGTCTTTGCCGCGAACTGGCCAGGTCTCTGATCCACACGGTAAGACTGGCCTTACCGCAGCGTTATATACCGTAGCTTTTACTGACAGGATGATGTCCCTACGTCCGTATAGATGGTTGAGTCTCTGAATACGCGAAGTAACTTTCTCAGTGTTATGATCACCAGAGGTGACACAGCCACCAATGTAAGTGAATCGATCCACCACTTCCACTGGCTATTCGGAAATGACCAAAACCGGTTGCGTCGGTCAACTCCTGCAGCAGTACGTTGAAAGTGCAAAACACATGCCGAAGGGTGCAGCGCTATACGTCAACCTGTGCTATGGTGACTGCATAGCCACTGCGTCCACGAGCTCCAACTGTTTGAACTTATTCAGCAGAACTATTTCTGCACACGCTTGCAAGTCTGTTCACCTATTCGTAAGTTATACGTTTCCATTAATAATCTATAATCTCGAACTGCGGTCGCTTTTCTGCAATTTGTTTTGTCCACGACCCTTACATCTCCTGACCCAGACAGTGCGTTTAGATAGGTGTCATCAGGTGCCCGTTAGCGATTTCCTCAGTAACACGGCAAACTACCAAAATGATGTAGTGGACTTGGGGTGAGCTAAGAACTTGTAATACTGCACCTGGGTTACCGGCGTAATGAGCGAACCGGATTGCAACGAGTCAGTGGCGGAGCAAATAGACTTTCTGACACAGGCAGAACATTTGGAGACCGCAGATGGATCTGCGCTCGCAAAAATACCAAAACAGCGCTTGACAAGTCTTCGAACAAAAGCGCACCACGCAACCTCCAGGGAGGCGTTCGCAAATGAGTGGAAGTTTTGCTGGTTCGACGCAATGCATATGGTGGATGCTCGCGGCTACAAGGAAAAAACTCCTTTTGAACCTGTTGGATTTTACGGACTGGTAGAGAATTAGCTAGGTGGTGGTCTCCACACGAATGTCGTGTTAATTAACCCTTTACTGTACAATTGTATTCTCAACCAAACTGGGCAGTCTAAAGTCCCGGTTGCTCCAACTGACCCGATTAACTCATCGTATTGTTCCAGGGTCCACTGTCGCCTAGGTGTTATGGTTTGTCTGAGTGAATATCGGAACTTCACTGGCGTCTACGACGGTAGTAATCGACCCTGATGCACCGGGTTTTGCAATCTGTCACATGTCAGTGCTCACTGATGCACTTTTTATTTTGGAATCCGATAAGTCACTTGCGGAACATTTTCAATGTTAATCGTTTCCAACGCGACTGCTCTCATTTTGCATTCTTTTAGACTTCTCGAGTTGATCTAGCTGGGGAGTTTGAATCGAGCGAAGCGCGAAGTTGTAGCAAGCAGTACTGAAATTTTCTTCGCTTTGATACATTTCCAGTATCCGATATGACGAGTTTTTCTTGGTCCTAACTTAGGTTCACATATCGCAATCCAAAGCACGACGGTAATCCAAAATCAGACAACGAGCTCCTAACCAGTGTGGTATACGTAACTCACAGAGTTTAGTGACCTAGTAATCAAGCAGTCATCTGTCAATCACTACGCGCCGTAGTCCACTACCAGCTCCACCTGTCTCTACTCGAACAGCGTAAACATAAATGAAACCAGCCGTGGGCTCGAGAAAGAAAATAAATATCTCCGCTTCAGACGGGGTTCCTGTGGTTGAATGGTCTATGTTCGCTCTAAAGTAAATCCTAAACCAGAGTAAGGTTGTGTGTCGCACTTCAAATGCACCGTGTGATGGGGATGGATCCAAGGAACATATCAAACAACCAATGAGCGACGGATTTGACAGCTTCGATTGTTGAAAGCTGATTGGCTATTGTCCGTTTGCACTACGGAGAGTTCTTCGTCGTTTGTTTAACTGAATTAAAGGCGGAAGCTCGTCGGTCCAAAAACGCCGTTTATATGAGTATACCAACAACATGTTTCGAGGCATTGGGGTGTCATGGATGCTCCGCTTCTTAGTAACGCCCTTGCGAAATAAACGCTTATCCCTGAAGGACTAACCTTTTCGACACAGCGAATCTCCAAGAAGCCGATGATGAATACCCAAGCACTGTACCAAGAGTTTCACGCAGAGGTCATCGGTTTACTGATCATCATACCTCAACTAATCATCGCCGGAATCGAATCCTACTTCAACTTTCTGTATCTAAGGAGACCAAATTAAGATAAATCCGATAGCGAAGCGCAACGTTGGTAGCAACTAATACCAAAGTGTTTCCATTGGATGCGGTTCCAGCGAGCAAAATGCTCGAGGCTTACTTACACGCACATTACAGTCCAAGTTGGAATTCCATGCCCCGATCCAAACAAATAGCAGTTATTCCAAAATCTAAAAGTACATTTTGGGGTTGCTATAGATTTCTTCGTAGCTACTACATAGTTACTTGCTTTCATAAAAACCAGCCGTTCTGAGTAGATCGATTTACGGGGGAAAATAACTCATTGAACAATGTATTTTTTATTGATACGTTAATTGGCATTGCTATTTTGCCATTGTTTCCGTAAAATACGCCAGCCAGCAATTAAGAAGATCATCCTACTTAGGTCGTACATTTAAGACCCATCGCTAAGGTCCTATGAGTGTAAGGATTTCACTGATTAGGCGTAAAAGTTTGTCGTAACGACAGACTGTTGATTAAAGGGATGAATGCCATTTGGTAGGTTGCTGGATTTACTCCATGAAGCCCGGTTCGTCCAATCGGTTTAATTCCCAACCTTTTATTCGACAATTTTCCCGTGTTTGTCCGTTCCAAAATTTATTCGTTTAATGCCTCACCTCTGTCTTGCTCTATGTAACTGTAGGTCACATTGCCTCCCCCGTAATACATTAACAGCACTCGGACTTCCTATGTCCTATTTCTAGTTTTTTTTATATCACAGCACACTTTCAAGATGTTCTCCTGCCAACACATCTTTCTCCCAGCACTTGCCACACTAGCTCTTTACTGGATGCCTGACTTCAGACGTAATAGTTTATTTTCACAATTTCTTCAACACAGCAGTTCACACAGCGATGTTGATGCGCGTAGACCTATCACTACCCTTGGCACTATATGTCTGAAACGTGGTTGGACCATTGTCGAGACACGGCGTGCTATGTTTCTTCATTCGTTTCTGCCATGAGGTTACTTTGCATACCTATTGCTCAACAGCTATCTGAGTTTGCTCATGACTCTGTCAAGTGGCTGGCGGCATTGATGAAGAAGCTTGTGGCACTAGGAGCTAAATCTGGCCTCCACACATCACTGACGTCCTCAGGCGTTTAAAGCAAACCCCACTGTGTCATTGGTATTGCCCCCCCCCAACGGTTTGCAATCGCCACCCGCTGCTATGCGGTTGGATCTGCTGCTTCTTACTACATTAATCTATGGTTCAAAGACCGTAGGGCTCCAAGCATTGTGTGCTACTGACGAGTTCTGGTGATCGAAACTTCCATTCAGCGCGTCTGACCAAATCTGTGTGTGATGGATTTCGAAATATTCATGATATTGACCAGCCGAGACGAGTGTTCGCTTCCACATCCACTGCCTTCCTCTGCATATCATGTGTTGACAAATTTTGCTAGAGATCGATCGCAGCTGCTATTGGAGCTTCTCATTGGAGCAAAAACTCTGTCAGATATTGGTATCCTTCTTTCTGTCAGTACGAAAATAAGCCACCTTTTGTTGCATGCTTCAGTATTGACGGGAGCAGTAGACCCGTGTCTCATCGTAGCTGATCGTAAACGAACATGGTCTTCTGGTAATCTACATGTGCGTTTTCCGCCATTATCTCACTCGTTTGTTACACCTTTCCAGAAGCACACCGTTGTAAGAATGACGCCTGAAGGCGAACAGGAACAGAAGATTGTACATACTAACGATGTGCAGCTGTGTTGCGATCACTTTCCGAGTCTGATCGCTTGGAAAAAGCGGGCCTTATTTGGTTCTGAATACGATTATCCTGGTAAGTGAGCTCTGTCACTATGTTTCCTTACTATCCCTTCGTCATGTGTACATCTAGTTCCCACAATCAGTGTGTAGGCAGAAAAGCGTATACCCGCATGTGCATGATTTTGGCTCTGGTGATGTTCCTTCACTCCCGCATCTGTTTTCTCAGTGTGTGCTCCAGTTTAACAACAGTACTTCCCGCTTTTAGTGTGATCATTCAGATTCATTAGTCGCTGTGACGCGTTGTTACCGACTAATCGGTCCTGGGTTTGTGCAACGCGTAGCACCCCGGAGTCAATTCAAAGGTTGAAGCCAGAATTGAGCTGCGGTGCTATTTTCCGAAGATTAGGTAAGAGTGGTCTCAACAATCTCCAGACCACAAGATGTACAACAAATATGTTATCGAAACGCAACCAGCTGTCGATCGAGGCCAAATCGAGGCACCGGTCAACTAGAGTATAATCAGTCATACAGTCAGCCAAAAGAGTTACGTTCAGCCGTGATTTAATGCAAAACGATCGACAGTCCGATCAAGCAGCCCGCGATCTACGTGCGTATGTGACAAACACACGAAGGCATGAGTGATTATCAACGCTCTGGTTCAACCCGTGAGACCACAATATATATATGGAATAGAACATGCGCTGAAGGGCATCAAATAGGACTGGAGTCAAAATGATTTGCATGCTTGTGGGGAGTAGTTTGGTCAGGAGCTGAAAACAAAGTAAGAAATAGAACAGTGACATGCTTGGACAGGTGCAACGTGCGCTGTTCGTTGCTTGGTACCGTAGGGGCAACGCGGGCAATCGGCATTCCCTACGTGCAGTGTTCCTCGTTATGATGCACTGCGTCTACCTGACAACCTCGATCATGCGGCGGTGCAGTGTTGCCTGCACCATTCCAACCAACCTTTTCGTTTGCATTTTCCAGTCATATCATGAGGAGCTTTGTGTACCCGGATGGGTGCATTTTCGACATTTTTCACTATTAACCACAGATAAACTGAAGTGAAGAACAACATGGCGCAAATGGATGAACGAAAGAGAAAATGATGCACTGTTGTCACTCAAGTAAAACGGCTCCGCATTCCCGAGCAACGATCGCATATTGCTGAACAAAATCCTCGGGATTGGTATTCACGTCCTTAACTCCGATCGGATGGACAAGGGCGAACATCTGCTGCGGTTCTGTGCATGAAACGCCCTCTGTTTCTTAGTAGCACCGATTTTAGGTACAATGAGCGCCGAAGTGTCACTTGGCGTCCCCATATACTGGCCAACGATGGATCCAAGTAGATCACCTTACCATAAACTACAAGTGCCGTGACTCCATCCTTGAGTTGTCAATTTCCATATCTGTGTCTCTAGCGAATATGATTTTTATCGAACTCAAAGATTCAATAACACGATACTATCTCGTTAGATGGGGCTGCGGGCGCCATTGGTATGCGCAAGAACACTACCAATTGCTCCCTTAGATTTTACCCCCATCCTTTCTGAAGTAGACTTTCGTTATCTTACTGGATTAACTTCTGCTTTGGCATTTTCTTCACCGCTCCTTTTTTAACGATCCGTCGGTCACTAACACTTCCTCCAGTACGATGAGCACTTTTTGCAGAAACTATCGTTGTCATTGATCCGCCGCTCCTAAATCATGGTGAGGCGAGTCGAGCTCACAAGCAATTCCGGATCCATTGGATGACTACAGCGTTGTTAGGTGGTATGGACCTCCTACTCCAAACTATTAGCACACAGGCACCAGTTTGTTGAGTACCACGCTTCCTTTAGTTATGGACGAAGCGTACTGGGGTTGTCGAACTCCTGCTATGATGCATGTACTGTGTGCGCGAGTTCGTAATGAGCGGGCACCTCGATTTTAGCTAGGGTTCCTACAAATCTTATTGTTACCTATCGTGGACGTGGTTCGAACCTACACCACCTCCATATCTATCAAAAACGCGATATCTCTGATTTTGCCATGGACCATATCTCCCAACAGTCCATGTTTCTGCTTATCCACGACTGTCCGCATTGTGTAGCTCTCTATGAACAGAACAAGAGCTGCGTTTCGTTTAAGTTCTCCTAACTACTAAGCAACATGTCATTCGTAGTATACATCCTCATACATTATTTCCTCGTTGTTGCTGTTCGTAGCTGGATCCTCTTCGCCATTGTATCTCAGGCAGGCAATATAACTTTTCATATAAAACTTGTTAGCTATGTAACCCGAACTGGCTACTAGGACGTCGTAGGTCATGCGATCGGGTATTGTTCTCGTGTTTTTTGTTTCTTTTTTTTACCTGCACGACAACCCAAGTAATACTACTAACCCTTCGCATAAATTCACATTTGCTAATGGGCAAGATGATTGTTGATGTAATGTTGCCGGTTCTTCCCAAAAGTTCACAAGTCAACTAGTCTAGTCCTTAATCCGGAAAGGCACCAGACGATCATATTGCCCTATTGGTTTCTTCAGTTGTGCGTATTTCATCGGTCCGTTTCTGGGCGAAACGATCGTCTGGGCTTTTCCGGATTTGGGTTAAACTATGTGACTTGTGAGCTGCTAAAACAAATCAGTAAACTACACTTTTTTGTACATTTTCTGCCCCGGAACCGATATCACTGGAGTTGCTTTTACAGGCAACTGAATGTCAATCTCATGGATGTACTTTGGGATCCGAGCTCTTCGTTTGTCAACTATACACTCGCTATCTGCGTCGATGCCTCGTTTCCAATATGTGCTAACTGAGAATGGCACAAGGGCTTGTAGTTATTCCGCATCCGTTCCTATCAGAGAATGGCTACTCTCCGGCTCTTGCACTGTTTTGAGAAAAATGTTAAAAGTCAAATCATATTCTTCCTCTTCGACTCTGTTGATCAGTGTGTGTCGTCTAGTTTGCCCGATGCTATTGCTGTGTGATGGTCACGATAGGTTATGCTAAACATTGTCTAATTGGTACATTACAAAGGTAGCTTACTTCCGATCTTTCCGATCTTCTTCTTTAGCATCACTATGCACTACCCAATTTAGGACTTCCGTCCTGCTGGACGTGACAGGTGTTTAGGTAGATCCACCACACGTGAACTCAGTCAGATAGCCACTGTACATCCTGCGAGGGCACTGTATGTTCGTTTCATCCAACTGTGACTTATCGTTATTGCGAATTCCCCTTGGGTCCTATGGGATTCAATCCAACGATTATCTTACTACCAAACAGCTGCTCATGACACTAAATCATTAGTGACCGATACGTGAGGACGACTGATTGCTTATCTCGGTATAGCGAAGATGATTCTTTAGTACCATACATGTTACTTTCACGCAGTGTAGTGTGTTCGCCTCCAGAACTGCGGCTTCTTTTGCCGGGATGCCTTTCAGATTCGTTGTAGAAGTCAGCCCAAAGGATTACTAATAGTTCGTGACCGCTTTAAACTGCTTCGAAATTCTCCTGTCTAGGCCTAGGCAACCTGACAGTATCCTGCCCACGCAGCACAATGAATGTCTCTTCAAAAAGTTTCTTGATGCTCTGGCCACCGCAGAGGATAATCAACGGTGCCCTATCTGCTGCATCGAGCAAGGTGGATAAGGGTTCGGATGCTACTACCCAAGCCTTCTCATCATCTTATTCCCTCACTTACGCTTTTTTTTGCCGTCTCGTTCCAGCATCACTTCTATCCCCCCTGTTCTAACCACCCAATTCTTGGCCCTCCCCCACCATGCTTTTCTAGATTTTTACCTTCTAGTTTCAACTCACATGTGAACGCGGAGCGTCATTCATGTCTTATCGACAAGCCCATGCCCAATCAAACGGCCAAGCCCAGTGCATCAACTTCCATCTGGAGCCCTCGATCATCCTTCAGATTGACATGCCTCAATGTACGCACATTGCTTCAAATCGGTCAACAGGCAGCACTTGCCCGAACATTAGAGACCCTCTCGATCGATGTCTGCTGCTTATCGGAGACCCGCCTGCAAGGCTCAAGCTCTGTACTCACTTTGCGATCCCCTTCAGGTGACACCAGCAGCACTTTCTCATTGAGCCTATCCGGTGAAGTTGCAGCTTGGAGCACCAGCCAAGCCTGTGTTGGTATTGCCCTGAATCCCCGGGCTGAAGCTACTCTGGTTAACTGGATCCCAATCAGTAGCCGGTTGTGTGCGGTCCGATTGACTGGCTCGTTCAAAACTTCAAAGTCGCGCGGGAGTAACTGGTGTCTATTCGTCATCGTTGCCCATACACCCACAAACTGTAGCGATGATTCGGTAAAAGACGACTTCTATCGCCAATTGAACGAGCTCCTTCGCCACAGAAGAAACTCGGACATTGTGGTGCTGGCTGGGGATCTAAACGTTCAAGTTGGAAAATTATCCATTGATGAACTGCATCTGGGCGGTCAACATGGTGTAGGCTCCCGTAATGATAACGGTGAGCGGTTACTTCATTTGTGTGAAGATGCTTGCTTATTTCTTGCGAGCACTAATTTCCGACACAGTACCCGCCGGAGGGTGACTTGGCGCCCACCAGCCTCGAACTAGCTATGGACGCAAATCGATCACATTGCGATAAGTTACCGATGGAGAGGCTGCGTCCAGAACTGTCGCTCGATTTGGAGCACAAGTGTGGACACCGATCATGCACTTGTATGTGCTGACCTGCGGATGCGTTTTGGCGGACGCCCGCGACGATGTTGTGAGCGCATTGACACCAGCCAACTGGCGAAAGCAGCTGTTCTGAATGCGTATCAAAGTACGCTGTCATGTAAGTTGGATAAACGCTCACTGGATGCAATTGAAGCTCACTGGTCTCATATTTACTAGTCCTTACTAGCAGCAGACAAATCCTCATGTGGTAAGTCTAATCGGCAACATGGACATTGAGTCTCTTCGCATTCTCTGGAACTTATCGATGCTCGCCGGCATATTCCGGCTGGAAGCGAACACAATGAAACTCGCAAAGAGCTCCGGGCAAAACTCCGTGCTAGCCTGAGGAGAGAACGCGAATCCTGGTGGTCTCATCGTGCATCAGAGATGGAAATGGCCGTTACCTTTGGTAACCATCATAAGTTATTCCGTCTAATACGGGAATCGGAAAGCAGGAGACCTGGTGTTAGGGAAACTATACGTGACGAGAATGGACAGCCCATCCACAACTTATCGAAACACTTGGAGCGTTGGACTGAGCACTTTGAAAGGCACTTTAATCGGTCGGAATTGTTAGATTTCTCGCGGGCCACTGATCACCCCGCTCCGTGGGCCGTCCCTTTGGATCAACCCTCTCGCTCAGAACTCGAACGTGAGATCGCACTGTTGAAGTTAAATAAAGCCGTGGGACGAGATGATCTTCCTCCAGCCCACTTCAAATTCGGGGGATCTGCTCTTGTGGATGATTTATACTAGTTACTAGTGAAACTGTGGGAGCAGGAAACTGTCCCAACCGACTGGAGCCGCTCCGTCATAGTCCCAATTTTCAAGAGAGGCTCACGATCAGAATGCGGCAGCCATAGAGGAATCAGTCTGATCTCCATCGCCTCCAAATTGCTTGCCTCTGTCATCCTTCACAGACTGACTGGCACTCGTGAAAGTCAGATTCGTGAAGAGCAAGCTGGGTTTCGTCGAGGTCGTGGCTGCATTGACCACATCTTCACCTTGCGTCAGCTGTTGGAGCACCGTCACATATATTGGCGGCCAAACGTTGTCGTGTTCCTCGATATCAAAGGTGCATTCGATTCGGTGGATAGACATGCACTTTGGGACTGTCTACTCAGGAAAGGTGTACCTGAGAAATATGTGGATATTATCCGAGCATTATATGCGCGTAGCTCGGGCAGAGTGAGGGCTTACGGCAAGCTGTCGTTGCCCTTTAATATCTCCAGCGGCGTGAGACAAGGATGCCCGCTGTCACCTTTCCTCTTCAACTTCGCTATTGACGAAGTCATGGAAATCGCGTTTACAGGACACGACTTAGAAGGTGTGGATCTGCTCCCAGGACAACGACTTCTTGACTTGGAGTATGCTGATGATATTGCCCTGGTCTGTGACAGCTCACAAACGTGCCAAGCGGCATTGGACAAATTTGCACTAGCTGTCCGTTACTTCGGGCTTTGCTTTGCACCCTCGAAGTGCAAAGCGTTTCTCCAAGATTGGTCTGGACCGCCTCCTACGCTGACCCTTGGTGGGGATCAGCTAGAAATCGTTCAAAAATTCAACTACCTGGGAAGTTGTATCAGCGCCCGTGGGATTGAAGATGAAATCACGAATCGTATAGCAAAAGCTCGGGGCGCTTTTGCTAACCTTCGCCACTTATGGCGCCAACGCGACATCACTCTCACCCTGAAGGGTAGAGTGTACAATGCAACAGTACGTTCGACCCTAGTGTACGGTTGTGAAACCTGGCCGTTTAAAGCAGCGGACCTGAAGAGGCTAATTACGTTAAACCACCGGTGCCTTCGTAATTTAGCTCACATCTGGTGGGAACACCGCGTGAGCGACGAACTTGTTCGACGCCTTGTTTATGGCACAGGAAAAGGAAATGAACCGCTCAGCACCGTTATTTCACGCACCAGGCTCCGATGGTTCGGCCACGTGTTACACATGCCAGCCCACCGATTCCGGCGACGTTCGTTGTTTGCGCGTGTGGATGGAACAAGAGGAGGCGTCGCCAAGCGATGACTCGGTCAAGAGGAATGAAGGCCATCACTTCGAAGCTGGCCTCAGTTGGAGCGTCTCGGCTCCCTGGTTGGGGTACGAAAGACGGTGAACACGTTTGGCTGGATACACTTGTTGATATGGCTAGGAGCTGAGCTCAGTGGCGTTCGTGCTGTGAGTTTCTTTGTCCCACCCCATCCCTCTTAGCCTCACCCTCCAACCATGATCTCCTTATTTAGCACTTTATAATTTGCATAGTAAATTATCTTTTTTTTCCTGCTTACTAGCCGGCAGGTATCTTACTGGAACTATTCCCATCCGTTACCGGTAGCTCAGCACGTGTTGCACGTGTTGCATTGTATTCCCTTTATTTCTTTTAGGTATTGCGGCACATTAGCTGAGGTGTTTCCCACCTCTAGCTAACATGTATAGTGTGCGTGTGCTTCGAAATTCCTCTGCTGTCATCCTTTATCTGTTGCTTGCTCTGCCAGGATTGTCTTTGAAGATAACCTATGTGTTTTCATGCTCTCTTCTTTTGGTAGAACTAGTCCGTCTGATGTACACGTGACTTTGCCTATCTGATTTTCTTTTTTAACAGTAAAGGGAAGGTGATGTCACCGTGGCCTCACTATTACTATTGTCTTAAGCGGATGGTCCACCACTTCCTCCACCGGACTAATAGGATAACCCGTAAATGGGTATAATTCTACCGATCGGTAATACTGCTCGTGGGAATCCTATCTTAAGATATCCAAATATTCACCGAACTTTCTACCCCTTTCTCTGTTATTTCACCTTATTATCGCATTTGTTATCAGGTGTGGTACCTTAAACGAACTTGGTATTACTTTGGATCCCATCGTCTCCATTCCGCTAGACGAGTATTTTGATTACTAATGTGTAGAAGGCTTCTCGATGAAATTCATCGATTCGATCGAGGGAATGTATCCCACTGACGAGCCTTAATATGGCGAATTGGGGTGTCTGGTGCTCTTCCGGATTGGTGATTAGCCTATCTGGCTTGTGAGCTGCTGGAACGAATCACTGGAATCTATTTTCGTCTTTTATTGGTTCTAACTCGCATTCGATGTACCTTACCATTTAATCCCCTGTTCATCTTTCAGATATTCCTTGGCGTTGGAAACGATTCTATCATCAAGCTGATTTTGACATCGCTGACTTACTCAAAATTCGGTATGTGCTTATTTTGGACCGTCCTTTTGTTTAGCTCATCTGTGTCAACGCATATGTTTCCACGCTTTAGATTCTTTTGTATTATTTTCTCCGTAGCCTCAAAGTTACCCAAATCGGCGCACCAGATTCAGAGAGTCAACTAAACCATCTGTACTAGACCGAATATTCACCAACGAAGTACTCATGATCGAGAGGATGATCATCGATACTTCTCTAGGCCGCAGTGATCATGCAACCTTGCTCTTCGTGTACACCTGCTATGTACAATACCCCAGAGAGCATACTCAAACGACGCGTACCATAACACGCTACGGCACATTAGCTAGGCTAGTTGCAACATCGAACTTGCATTTCTCAGCCGAGGATACACCAGATATTGTCTGGATAAGTTTCGTCAACAAGTTTAATACCTAGGTCGTTGATGCGTCAGAAACTAGGGCTGCCCTTTTCAGCAACATTGTCTCGTTTGTACTAAGTAGGACACTCAAGTGCATGACGCAGCGTGTCACACTCAACCGACCTTAGCTCAAACATCTGGAGGGCCTAGGTCGTCCATCATCACTATTATATTCAACTAGTGCGCGGGGACAATGTTGAATATTAACAGGCTTTAACAGAACGATTTGTTTCTAGTAATAATTACTGTACAAGCATGTGAATAGCCTTCTCAAGATGAAAAAGTGATTACCTCTTATAACAGCAGATGCACCAACACGGACCACCAACTAAGCAGCGAATGCAATGCAGCAGTACTAAGCGTCAACTTTTCAATATGTTCCATCTACTGTGCTACAACCAAGATATACACTGTGACGGGAAAACTGTCATCTATGCGCCCAAACAACTCTCCCGGAATTGATGACATTCGGCCGAAGGCGCTTACCTTAGTAGCTTAGAAGCTGGCTGAAACTTGGGCGCGCTTCTTCCAGCAATGTTTTGAGGAGATGCATGTTCCTGCGGCACGGAAACACGGAATAATAACTCAAATTTACAAAGGAGACAGTCGATCCGACCCAGCTAACTACCGTCCAGTGACTCTTCTTCCAGTTCTTACGAAGTCATGGAGGCTATCATTGCTGACGCGCCTGGACGAACTAGGCTACATCGCTTCCGTCGGAACCGATTATGCACTACCGATCTACTGTTGGCATGGGACAGTTGGACCGAAACAATGGACGTTGGTGTAGGAATTGGTATTGTCTACCTTGATTTCGACCTGCTTAACCATCACATCCTTTTAGCTAAGCCTCAGGGCTACAGCAGTGCTGATCCCCTCCTAGATTGCATTAGCAACTTCCTCTTGCACAGACGTCTGGAAGTGAAACTTCACAAATCTGTATCAAATCCTATGCACATGAAATGCGGTGTGCCACATGGTTCGGTTTTGGGGCTCCGTTTGTTCTTGACTTTCATTGACGCTCTAGTGAGCTTACTCAATTCACACTGTTGGCTTTATGCCGACGACACTAAAATCTGGCGGCCGATCGAAGCTCCAAACGACCGCATACCCCTAAAAATGACATAAGCTTTTACGAATGATCAGTCCGCAATCATCTTCCTTTCTGCGTGACTAAATGTCTACAACACCAAATGGTTCGCACCTATAAACTGAGCAGCTTGGATCTCCAGTACCGTTCTCGGTGTACAGATCCAGGAACACCTTAGTTCCTCGGAACAAACTGCACTAGCATCAACAAAAGGCTTTTAGAGAGATTTTTTGATCACTTTGACCCATCTATTTTTCCCAGTTGCTTTCGGTTTATATACACCCGCACGTGGAGTATGCGATTCAATCATGGCAGCTATGGCTAAAGCGGGATCTCACTGTTCTGGAAATTCTCCAACCTCACACCATCGAATACATCAAACCGTTATACTACTTATCTTACGAACAGCGTCTGAGTATTTTTGGAGTTTTCAGTGGACGCTACCAAATTTTACTCAACCCTAACCACTCGTGTTGTCATTTGTTAAGTCTCAAATATAACAACAGATTGAGCGGCTACTGTTTTTAACTGTCAGAGCAATACAGCCAGCTGGAGTGTAGAAGGAATTTCTTCTCGCTACGTGTTTACCGCATATGGAATTCACTCACGTAACCTGTTATCTCAGCTCTCACATTAACTTTTTTCAAACATCATGTGGACAACGTGTTGGTCGCGTCGCACCATATCATATAACACACATTGGGAAAACAAAACCGCATCAACGCACACCCATTTCTCGGAGACAATCACAAGCAGTGACATTACAAGTTATTATTGAGAAGACATATAGCTCGGGATGTGGATGAGTGGATTTTTGTGTTCTCCGAACTAAGCAATTTCGTTCATACATTTCGTTGCCAAACTAGGCCACATCCTTAGTGTGGCTATAGAGGTCTGATTTGCCGAGTCTCGTAAGCCACTGTCACTGCCTACCTCGGAGAACACAACAACCCTCTCATTGCAAGTTATATAAAACCGTATGAGCACAATTTGGAAGGACAAAATTTCGATCGGCAACTTCACTATCTTTGGTTTTTCTCTGTTTATAGATGTTATTCCTGAGGTAGTTCCGATGGCAGATATTTTGTATCTGACGAATTCTGTGGGTCAAAGTGCGGAGAAAGTGCACCGGTTTAAATATGCGCGCTTAACTACGGTCTGGAATAATGAGTGAATACTCGGCAGTAACACATGTTTGATGAAAATTAAGTGGTACAGGTAGGCGTAAATGTGTGCATATTTAAGAGGCAGTAATGGAATTGAGGATAAGCGGAAAAATAGGACAATTTCTAAGTTAAGGCGAAAGAAAAATTATACGGTTTACAACTGGTACACCGCTTAGAATTGCCTATTTTGGATAGAGAATAGCAACCAGAACAATGCACGGTCTTTGAGTTTTGCGCTTCAGCAGCCACATGCCAGTTATCACTAATGCAACTGCCACTATATGTGGATTGATCGGCCTTTACAACTCCACGTCAACAGAACTCGATAGGGGAACTAATGGCTAGCTCTGATGCAAAAGCATACGGCGCAAACTGTGTGCTGAAGGATGAAATCGTCTCTAAGAATTTATCCAAGATGTCATCTTGCGATTATCGAATAACAAAACGATACTGGCCGTACACTACAGTGCGCCTAATTTCTCTCCCGTACAGGCTCACTTCCTAGTCGCTGATACTACATGAACTATAATCCATGTAATCATGCACTACGATATGGGCTAGAAATACGGTGTAGCACAAATTTGACGATCCTCACTTTTTACCCAGAAGGCGTCTGCCAATTCACCGACTAAACTAGCGCCAATTGATGTCATCATTATTATACAAGTCAGCTGGGAGTGGAAAACCCCTCACCTACTGTACCGCAGTACATAAATAAAGAAAAAACATGACTGGGGCACGCCATAGGAGCCATCAGTAACGCACGGACATCGTTTCGGAGAGCTGCCGTCCGGATATTGCGCCCCAAAATGATTATAAAATGCTTTAGGAATGGGAGAGGGACAAAGAAACTCACAACAAAATCACCCCTGAGGTCGGTTCCTAGCCATGCTGACAAATTTATCTAGCCAAATGTGTTCATCGTGTATCGGATCCCAACCAGGGAGACTAGAAGCTCCAGCCGAGGCCAACTTCGAACTAAGTCTTCATTCCTCTTGACCAATTAATCACTTGGCCACTCCTCCGCTTTTTCCCTCCACAACCCCGACACGCAAACAGCACGCGATGCGGGAGTCGGTGAGCTGGCATGCACAACACGTCGCTCAGCCATCGGGTCCTGATGCGTTGAAAATCGGTGCTGAGCGGTTCACTTCCTCATCCTGTGTCATAAACATGACACCATACATGCTCATTGCTCACACAGTATTCCTACTGATATGAGCCAGACTGGGAAAGCACCAGTTTTGGAACTAAACTAGCCTATTTATGTATGCCGACATAATGGACCAACTTTCACAACCAGACAGCAGGGTCGAACGTACGGCTGCATTGTACACTACTCTCCAAAGAGAGAGTGATCTCGCGCCGGCGCCGTAGGTGGCGAAGCTTCGCAAAAGCGCATCGTGCTTTTTCTCTGCGGTTTGTGACCTCGTCTTCTTTCTTTCCTGCTGCCACAATTTCCGCGTCCTTATTCAACTTCAAAGGTCCGACCTAACGTTCGACTTCTGATCGAGAGGATGCTCAAGTTCATTACATTTTAGTTGAACAACCACGGATCAGGGCACTGAGGTGCGGTGGACCCACTTGTTACGACTCGCGTCATTACTGTGACCGAGTACAGGGAACATTACTTCTTCACATGCGCTATTGATCGAACTGTACAGGGCAGTTGACTGACTTGGAGCGCACTTACAATTGTCTTTATATCTCAGTGGGTTCCACCTGAAACGACCATGTCCGCTACTGATGTTATCTAGGTTGGGAATCACCTCACCTACCTTTTCGCAGCTGGGGATTGCACTCTGATCAAATCATTGATATGATATCACATGTCCTAAGCCCACATATGACACGCCATAGTCCTCCTGTATCTGCGCACTTTTCCAGGCATCCACTTTATCAGTGTACCAGCTGTGTAGTTGTCATCGCGTTAACCAACTGACTTACTAAACGTATCATATTTGCTTCCATAGATTTGTAGGCACTATGGCTACCAGCTTAGCTGAACATGTAGATATACTTTCTATGGTGTTTCACTTTAACCCTTCTTAATATGAGAAAAGGTCGATTTGATCTAGAGGAACCTGAAGGGTTAGCTATGCATGCGTTCCATATAAAGTCGCTCACTAACTTATCTGCACATAATCAATGGGAACGATTCCCTGACTTTACTCCGCTGTCTTGAGAGCAGGCTATTCAGTCAATGGTTCGGAGTGGTATCTCTTAAGTCAACTCTCTAGTTCGTTTTGAGGAACCGAGTACTAACGTTCCGTCTGAAGAAACCATGGATTTCTATATTTTTCCGTTTTCTTTTTCTAAAACTGCACATTTCTTTGCTTTCCACGCT